ACACACACACACACACACATACACACACACACACACACACACACACACACACACACACACACACACACACACGGCGCTAACCGTATCATTCTGTCACCCTATACAGAGCTCTATGGCGGGTTCGCTAGGAACTGCTACGCTCGGACAGCGAACGAAGATTGGAAATACGAGCTGATTGACGAACGCGGGTGAGTAGGTCCGCAGCTAACCCACCGCCTCCTAACGAGAAGGTTACCTAACAAACAGCAAGAGAGAAAATAGAGGGGAAAGGGAGAGCGTGAAGGGAAAGAGAGAGGGAGGGAGAGAGAAACAGCGAGAACGAGAGAGAGAGAGAGAGAGAGAGAGAGAAAGAGAAAGAGAAAGAGAGAAAGAGAGTGAGAGGGAGAGCGCGTGAGAGAGAGAGAGCGCGAGTGAGAGCGCGCGCGAAAGAGAGAGTGAGAGAGAGAGAGCGCGAGAGAGAGAGAGAGAGCGAGAGAGCGCGCGTGAGAGAGCAACAGACTCGGCCCCACACTACTAACACGTCTATTCATACATCATTCTCGCCTTCTCCACAGCTGCGCACACGACTCTAAGATCTTCGACCAGTTCCGTGAGTCCGAGGCAGGAGATGGTCTCGTCGCTCGCTTCAGTGCCTTCAAGTTCCCCGGAAACTCTTACCTCAAGTTCGAATGCGACGTGCGCGTCTGCATCGGCAAGTGCGAGCCGGTAGGTGTCGCTCGAGTTGGCTTGCAAGATGGCCGCGCTAGAAGGAATTTTTGTTGTTGTCGATAGTGTTTGTGCGAGTCACCTTTGTATATATCGTGTGCCATTTAGTTCGTGGGGGTAATGTATAGGTGGAAGGGATTATTTACGGGGTGAGGGGACACTTATGTTCACATACATTTTGTATTTATTAAGAACTTTCTTATTTCAAACACAATGCCTTCCTATACATGAGATAGTGCAATGTAAAGGCGCGATAGACGCGGTGCAGTGCCATCTAGCGTCGTTCTACGCCGGATACTCCCGGCGTAAACAAGAGACCGTTCTCTCGTCTTGTAGGTGGACTGTGGAGGAGGAGAGACGGGCTGGGGAAGGAGGAGGAGGAGGAGAGATCTGAGCGGGGCGGCTAGCGGCGGAAGAACCGTTGAGACAATAAATGGCGTCGACAGTAATACGATCAACGTGCTGCTGCTGGACAAGCTCAATGACTCATGTGAGTAGCTAATGTGTGTGTGTGTGTGTGTGTGTGTGTGTGTGTGTGTGTGTGTGTGTGTGTGTGTGTGTGTGTGTGTGTGTGTGTGTGTGTGTGTGTGCGCGCGCGCGCGTGTGTGTGTGTGTGTGTGTGTGTGTGTGTGTGTGTGTGTGTGTGTGTGTGTGTGTGTGTGTGTGTGTGTGTGTGTGTGTGTGTGTGTGTGTGTGTAATGTGTGTGTGTGTGTGTGTTGTGTGTGTGTGTGTGGTGTGTGTGTGTGTGTGTGGTGTGTGTGTGTGGTGTGAATGTTGTGTGTGTGTGTGTGTGTGTGTGTTGTGTGTGCCGTGCTGGTGTGTGTGTGTGGTGGTTTGTGTTTGATGTGTGTGTGTTGTGTGTGAATGTGTGTGTGTTTGTGTGTGTGTGTTTGTGTGTGTGCGTGTGTGTGGTGTGTGGTGTCGTGGTGTGGCGTGCGTGCGTGCGTGCGGTGCGCTGGTGCGTCGTAGCGTTGCGTGCGTGCTGTGTGTTTGTGTGTGTCGTGTGTGTGTGTGTGTGTGTGTGTGTTGTGTGTATGTGTGTATGTTGTGTATGTGTGTGGTGTGTGGTGCGTGTGCGTGTGCGTGTGCGGTGGCGTGTGCGTGTGCGTCGTGTGTGTGTGTGTGTGTGTGGTGGTGTGTGTGTGCTGTGTGTGTGTGTGTGGCAAATAATTAATATATAACACATGTTAAGCAGATATTATTTAATGATATAAAATAATCTAATTAATACATTGATTACTAAATTATTTACTATAATATATATATATATGTGTGTGTGTACTTGATAATGTATTTCATTCTATTTTTACTTACTTATTTAATTAAATGATATATAATCATATACGTATACTACTTTCGTCTCAACGCTCGCTCATCCACCGTCTCGCTGTGTTCTCCGCAGCCACACAAGCCGTCGTGCGAGACGCGGGTCTCTCGTACTGCGTCTCTAAGGACAGACTTGCTCTCGGCCTCGGCGTGTCGGCACTGCTAGCTCTCTTCTCCGTCGTTCTCCTGCTCGTCATGCTACGGGTGCGACTCTTCCGTTCGAAGAGCGAGCCTGACCGACCGCCGCCACGCCTCACCATCCCCACACCGACGTACACGGGAGCGGGCGCCGCCAGCTCCGTGCTAGAGTACTAACGGGACCGTAACTCCCCCTCTCTCCCTCTTCTTCCTCCACAACGATGGAACCGCTCGCATTTTTTCTTAACGCTCGCGAGCGCGTGCGGTCTCGCCTGATTGGACGATTGCGGATCACGCGTGGCGTGACGTCAGACGCGACGCACGTGCGTGTTGGAGCGACGAAGAAACGAGTGTCCATCGCCGATGGAAACGTCGGACTGTGACCTAGGCTTGACCTAGACTTAACCTCGGTTTGACCTAGGCTTGCTCTCGGTTTGACCTAGACTTGACCTAGACTTGACCTAAGCTTGACCTAGGCTTGACCTAGACTTAGGCTTGACCTAGCCCTGACCTAGGCTTGACCTAGGCTTGATCTTAGATGTGGCCTCTCTACTATTTGGTATTGTCAGCATATACGACGATATCGCTCGTACTAACAGCGATCAATAAGCTAGCGTAAGCACACTGCCGAGAGAAACTAATACTAATCAATTAATTAATTGCATTCCGAATCACGTCAGCGTGACCTTTGGAACGACCCTATCTCTCACGATGTAGAACGTCACTAAAACCGAAAACAGGAATTTCGTCGTTGGCGTTGAGTACATTACATTTGCACAAATAGCGACGATGTGCGATTCCTCGATAGACGGCGCTGCGGTCGTTGTCACGTCATCATTCTCATAATGTCTTCCTCCAAGACCCGAAAGGGGGCAGTAGTTAATGGCTGACTTGTGTTCGGCTGTGAAGGAAGGGAAATCTGATCGAACTAGAAAGCCCGTCGTCCTTCTATCAAATGAGCGACAGTTTTACACCCACGACATGTGCGCCATCTAGCGGGCCTCGGCGTGAAACAACATGGCGCACGCGCACGCACGAGTATCGTTGGAGCGCTGGTCGGGATGCTTCGTCGGGTATAACTGTGAGTTTTTGTTCAATGTAATTATTTTTTATAATCAGCGACAGTGTATATAGCTCATTTTTAAGTCGATATTTTTCTGTATGTTTGCTTCGGTTATTGCTGGAAATTCGATAACGAAAATGCTGTTTTTCACGGTAGCTAGATCCGGTACGGCGGGTCAAAGGTCAGAGCCTCGAACGGAAGTTCCTGTGATTGCGCCCTGCTTAGTGCTGAGTCCGTTAGTCCCTCGAGGTTCCGACGTGGCTCGCTAGGGGTCGCGTCAGGCGCAGTATGGCGGCCGAAGAAAACAAGCTCAAACATGGTAGAAAGTTCTTCTTCGCTCACTCTCTCAATCTCACGCACCGGATAAACAATTAGAAAGTACGCAGCCCTAATTGTTTATTAGCTGGGGGGAAAAAACACACACGCCTGAACGACTAAAACCTGCGCTTGTTACTGGTTTGCACACGTTTTTTGACGCGCGACTTTTGCTCATTCGTGCGCTATGTGCGCGAACGCATGAACATACGCGGAAGACGATGTGCTGCCAAGCGCAGAATTTATATGATCAAGCCGTTGTTGTTTTTTTACTACTACTACTACTACTACTACTACTACTATTATTATTATTATTACGTACTGACTACTAAATGTTATACTAATTTATTACATCTGATATGGTGTTGTACATGTATCACGCCAATGCATGTAATAAATTTACGCGAGAAATCTGTATATACCGGGTTAGAAAAAAAATGCTTGTATTTAATTCAGATTTATTGAGATATATATATAGATATATATAGACAGAGATATATATAAATATACAGCTTACGGGCCTATTAGAATTCGAATGCCTATCAGGCAAGGCCTCGTCATTATGACGTCACAGTTCGTCTGTGTCTGCCGAATAAATGGTGCATGCGATATAGCAAATTACTGTTGAGTTTCCTGTCGTCACTGCTTGCTCGCAGGAACAAGCAGCTGAGGCGATATGTGAAAGTGATATCAAATTTCATCGCTAGATGTCGCACCAACACGAAGCTGCGGCTCATTTTTCACTGATGATGTGCGGTTAGTTACGTCTGGCGTTATCGCGTCTGACGTTCGCGGCAATGACGAATGGATAAAATACTCTCGTGCGTCAAACGCCTTGTGAAAGTTGTCCTCATACAGAATTCAATCGCGTCTTTGTTCAAATTTACATCGCCGTGGGAAAAGATCATTGTTCGATTCGTTCTGTTTGTAAAATAGAGAAAATAAAGAGCCGATATTTTATATTATTGTAAAAAGAATATAACACGTACGTAGACTTGTTATTTTATATAGACTACTTTCTTTTCTATAAATACAATCTACAACCGTATAAAATGGCAGGCAAATAAAATATCATTACTGGCTGGGTTTGGGACCTCATTCTACGCGCAATAATAGTGCTTTATGTTACCACAAGATGGCGATTGTGTATATTTCGTCGGCCATAGTGGACGAAAGGCCATCTTCAACATCACAAACAACGTTTTCTGGAACGACGCGAAGAAACATGAACACCGCGGATGTACTTCAACGTGATGTGTATAATATATGTCAATTTATCATAAACGTCACACATTAAAGAGAGTATATATACATAAACGTAACGCGTACACATAAACGTCACGAGTACACATAAACGTAACGAGTACACATAAACGTCACGAGTACACATAAACGTAACGAGTACACATAAACGTCACGAGTAGCACAATAAACGAGAAGATAACGAGTACACATAATACGTCACGAGTACACATAAACGTAAACAGAAGTACACATAAACGTCACGAGTAACACATAAACGTCACGAGTACATTTACCGAGTGGCAACGATTACGATGTTTGCATTTACTCCCACGGTCATCCGCCCATGATACGCTAGGAAATCAGGGAAGGCGGGGCTATGCCATTATGTATATACGCAGTCTCCAAACTTGCAATTTCTTTTCGACAAGAGGTGCTCTCATTCGTGAATTCTCTCGGCAGCTTTTTCTCCATTCACTAAGAAACACCGTAAGAACGCTGTGTTGCTTTCTACGTTTCTCGCTCTCTCTACCTCTCACTCTGGATATCTCTCTCTCTCTCACTCTGGCTATCTCTCTCTCTCTCTCTTCTTAACTCTCTCTTTCTCTCGAATCATCGATCGTCTTCGCG